TTTTTTTTTTTTTTTTTTTTTTTCGGGTGAAAAAGAAAATGGATCAATGTCTCGAGTTTACCTTTAACATTTATCACAATCGAATTAAAATCAGTATTTCTATATGAGTGGGCAGTCTTTTTTTTCTGATTTGGTGATGAACTTTTATTTTTTTGAGGTGGAAAATGTGCTTAATATTAGTTAGCCATTCCGTAGCCTCTTTTTGCAAACAGAAGCATCCTCAGTATAGTCACACAGTCCACCCAGCTGACATGGTCAGAGCCACACTTCCCAGACCTGTCTTGTCCATGGCTTCAGGCTGAAGAGTCTTGATTTAATGTACATGGGAGTTGCGGGCCAGCACGTAGCCTAAGTAGGTACACTTAAATCTTGCTGGGGGCTTAAGAAATGCTCTAGGGGGGCCCAGAACTTGCACTGGCCCTATGCAAAAGGGGTGCATGTCACTAGGGGAACTCCCCAAATTGGTAGGTGCTGACCCAGGCTCACTTGGTGTTGATTAGGGATGCTCAGTGCCTGTCTGGACTGGGCTAGAGCCCTGAAACATTATCTATTGTCCAAAAAAACTTTTGAGTTTGATTCTTAGTCCCCCCCCCATAAATGGTCTCGCTGATTTAAATATCTTGTCTAGAAGCATTCTCTCTAAAAGTTGAGCTACACACAGCACTAATGCACTTTAATGCCTGCACGTGTAGACGTCGACCTATTCCCGCCTACTGTGCAGTAAATTTAAGCCGGTGTAAATGCACGTGTAGACACACCCGTTATGTCACCCGGCAGTGATAGCCAGCAGTGTGCAGCCCTGCCATACTTCATCCAGCCTGCCCGTTGGTCCATGCAGGCCACCCCTGTCCCTGCACTACAATCATAGCTGCTCTGTACAATGACTTGCTTGCAACTTAACTCTGGAGTGACTTCTGTCTCTTCATAAATATTTAACAGGGTCCTTCAGGCTAAAAACAGGAGAAACAATGTCAGCAAATATCAAGTTGTTCACCCTGGGCGGAACTCCCATTGTTTTAACTGAGCAGGGTCAGGCCTGTTGCGTTCAGTAGGGCCACCCTCTTTATCAGCCATTGCATCATGGGCAAAAATACCGTCTCTAGGGATCCCTGTTATTCCTAACTCTAGCTGATCAAATCTAGTGTCCATGAGATCAGCTGCTGCACTTCCCTCATTCTGATGTGGTTAGTCATCGTCTGATAGCCTTTGCTCTTGAACAGGGAATTTTCTGCTGGAGCATTTCCTCTGAATCAGTATTTTCTCTTATTTTCTTAAGGCCTGAATAGTACAAGTTTGAACTGCCTTTCTTAACTATTGTTTAGATCTCTGAAACCCCTAGAGACAGCTGTTGCAAGAAGAACTATATTTAATGTAATTCGTCAACTCTCCGAGGCTCTAAGCTCCCAGGACTGGGGAAGAATTTTGCAGGTATTGCTAAGGGAACACTCCTGTTGACGTTCTGCTCCTCGCTTGCTATATTATGCTGCTAGAGATCACAGGAGCAAACACAGGTCTGCCAAATATGCAGAAAAAGGGCAGTATCTGCCCGATAATGTGTTTGGAAATGCAGTCTCTAGGTTAGGCACGGCTGCTGCCCTTCTGTTCACCTTGTGGTGGCATGGAGCAGTAGAGGGCAGGTCGTCTTCGTCTGAGCTCCCAATAGCAGACGCAGGACCCAGGTCTCCACCGCCAGACACTATGCGTGCAAAGGGCACCGCATCCTCCGCTCCCAAGGGCAGCCTGGTGTATCCGGTGGGAACGGCTGAGCATCAGACAGGCAGATTCTGATATCTTCCATGTGACAGTCATGTTAAGTGTGATGTAGCTGCAATGGTCCAGAAATCATGTGATGGGCAAGAGTCTCTTAGGGCGATACATTTTATTGGACCAACTGTGTAGTTGGGATATCTTTAGACAAACTTTCCAATGTAAGATTTTCATCCTCAGGTCTCTGAATATAGGAAGCCAAGCACAGTAAGTGAAGCATGGCCACTGTGGGGGAAACTAAACAGCAACAGCACAAGAGAATGGGCTCTCACAGAAACAAAAATGTAAAGGATGGAGATATAATATAAAGGTTGGTCTAATAAAAGAGATCACCTTTATTCAAAGAACCTTGGCTGTAGTCCAACACAGCTACAACCTGAAAGGATGCAGACGCATGCACACGCGCGCGCACACACACACACACACAAACAGAGCACATTTCTTACACAATCTCTGCTCCATCTCTGACCTCACTATACTCCTGCTCAAGGGAAATCTACTTAACACCTTTCATTGGCTTTTGGGAACAAGCCGGCTGGACACTAAGATCCAAGGTCTCCTATTGGATTTATGGCCCACTACAATTTACCCAACTCCTGACTGCTTTCCACACAAGAAAGGTGAGATTGAGCCCCCTATTCCCCACCTTTCATAGGCCTTGATCTCCCAGTCAGCCACCGCTTTTCTTTTGATAACTGTCTGCTACAGCTGAGAGTGTCTCAGCCCTTCCCCTATACCGTGCTTCACCTGCTGCGCTTGGCTTCCTACATTCAAACACCTGAGGACGAACATCTTACATTGGGAAGCTTGTATAAATGTAGCCCAGCTCCATAGTTGGTCCAAGTAAAAGAGGTCACCCCGAGGAATCCTTGGCTCTGATGATGAGGGCAGTGGAGCAGGGGCGACTCTAGCCCGCAGCTCCCGAGTTTCTCTTGCACTAAGCCACAAGCAGCGCGGGGCTGGGGAGGAGCCGCTGTAAGTGCCCAGGTGGATCGGCTGCAGAATGACACAGTCAAGTAGCCCCGGTTTGAAGGGATAAAACAGCCCAGACTGCTAGAGAAGTCAGGCTGCAAGGGATGTGGGGCTGCTCCACAACCCAGGTCCTGGGGATGGGCAAGGCCAGCAGCCCTGGGACTGGCCCGGGAAGGGGCTTCTGAGGGCCTGGAGCACAGCTGGCTGCAGAGATGAGCCCAGGGCAGCAGGGCTTGGTGTGCACATGCACACAGGTGTGCATGTGTCCATGCACTGCCTGGGTCTGTGTGTGCGCGCCCAAGCGTGCACGTGTTTGTCTGTCCATCCATGCATTGTTGCAGATGTGTATGCTCATGCACTTCTCCACCTGTGTGCGTGTCCATGCACCGCCCAGCTGTGTCTGTGCACGCATGTGCTCGTGTGTCCATGCAGTGTTGCACGTGTTCATGTACTGCCCCAGCGACGTGTTTGTGCACTGTCATGTCTGTGTTGTGCCCATGCAGTTGCATGTGTCTGTGTGTGCACTGTCGCACATATCCATGCACTGCCCCAACTGTGTCCACGCACTGTCACGTCTGCATGTGTGCACGTGTACCCATGCACTGTATGCAGTGTCCCACTTGTGTGCCCATGTACTGCCCCAGCTGTCTGCGTGTCTACGCGTGTGCATATCCATGCACTACCCAGCTGTGTTTGTGTGCACGTGTGTGTGTCTAGGTACTGTCACATGTCTGTGAGTGTCCATGTGCTGCCCCAGCCGTGTTGTGCATGTCCGTGCACTGTTGCATTTGTGTATGTGTGCAGGTGCGTGTCCATCTAGGCACTGTCACACGTGTGTGTGCCTACACATTGCCCCGCTGTGTGTTGTGCATGCCCATGCACCGTCCCGTTTGTGCACCCCTGTGCACGCGCACGGCCCAGCCCCCCAGCGCTGCAGACCAGCTCCCGCGCACGTGTCCAGGCGTGAACGACCCGCGCGGGGGCGAGGCCTGCGCGGGAACCCCAACGCACCAATCAGCGGCCCCTACGGGTCTCACATGATTCCCCTCGCCCCGCCCCTTCCCTCCTCCCCCCTCCCGCCGGAAAGTGACGCCGCGCGCGAGCGATGACGCGGCACGTCGGCGGCGCGTGACGTTGAGTCCCGGGCAGCGGGCGGGGCCGGTTTGAACGCCGAGGAGCCGGGGCCGCAGCGGGGGCAGGTACCGGCTGGGCCGCGGGGGCGGC